TATGAGGGTTGTTACAGTCTCCCCTATTAACCTCTCCTTTTTAGGCTCTAACTTTTGCCAAGGCGCCCGTTGCGGGTTTTCGACCTTGCGAGCTTTGTTCTTCTTTTTTTTCAATTTTTGTATCTTTTCATTCTCTTTCATTCTTTTTTCTTTTTTTTTTTAATTTTTTTCCTTTTCTCTTTTTTTTCTTTTATTCTTGTTGTTATTTTCTTTTCCCTTTTTTTTTTTGTTCTTTTCTCTTGCTCTAACTTTTGCCTAGGTCGCCCTTTTGGGTTTTCGGCCCAGCGAGCCTCTCAAAGGGTAAAAGTGTAACAAGTCCATGCCAAATGGTTTTAGGGTTTTGCAGCCATCCGTATCCAGGAGAGTGGCTGTTGTATTGATTTACTAAAGGATCCATCTTCGGCTCTTTGAGCATATCGGACATTTTTTACCCTAGTTCAAGGGGTGCTTTTGTTCTAGCTTCGCAAGCCTCTTCTGATGAGGTCTGATCTTCTTGATCTGACTTTCTTGCCTCTTGTTCGAGGGCTGCTTTGAATCTGGCCACACAGGCCTCACATGGCGGTTGACCGTTGAACGTTCTGAATGGGTTCAAGCTTCGAAAACAAATGGATTGAATCTTGAGGCTGAGAGTGATCCTAGGCTGCACAATCTCAAGAGCGATTCCACACAAGTCTTCACAGGACCGCGCAAAACAGTTTTTGAAATCTTTTAAGAAAGCAACAAATCGCTCGCGCTGAAGACAGTGTAAGACCAATCTGGATCAAGCCAGGATCCTTCTCAGTACTCTTACTAACAAGCATGATCTCGATCATTAAGGGCTTAACATGCCTCTCTTTCTCTCAATTGATCAAGTTTTGCAAAACCCGAGGAATTCCTTCCTCTTCATTTTTATCACAATGTTTCAAAAAAAAGTTTTGAAAAACTTAGGTCATTACAATGACTTCAAAGGTACATAGTCAAATACTGCCATCTCATTTAGAATTTCTGGCACAACTGGCACACGGCAGAAGCAAACACAAGAGTGTGAAAATCACTGCTGTTCCATTCAAATCTGTTGGCACAACTGGCTCCCCGGCAGAAACAGACTCAAAGGAAAGCAAAAGGACAAACACAAAACAAGCAAGTGATATCCAAGGTAACACCCCCGAAATCACCTGACTCTAACAAAACAGGACTGACTCGATACAATAAGACAGACCTGACTGACTCAGTATGAAAGGACTGACTCGAAACAAAGAGGCAGACTCAAAACAACACAACAAGACTGACCCAATGCCCAAGTCAGAATGTACAAAACTAGCATTCACAAATGCTCAAAACAGTGCGTGCCATACGCCACTTCTGGAGTAAACTGAGTGTCGTCCACAGGTGGTCCAACCTCTGATCACATCACATTATCCCCCACAAGTTCACTGATCAAGTTCACTGATCAAGTGTGTGACCATGAAACAAGGACTAAAATTACATTTCACATGATGCCAAATCATGAAAATACTTCAAGTAACACATGCTAATGAACTCAAGGCACAAAGCTTACAAGCTAGAATGAACCAAGGCTATGCAAAACAATGCATGCATGACCAAGACAACACCGAACAGAGTTTAATCATGGTAAACCATGAGGGAAAGCTCCTTGGAGTCGAGCCAAAACATGCAAGAATAGTGGTCCAAACACAAGATGCATGTTATGCAAACATGCAAGATTACTCTACAAGTATGTAAAGCGTGCAAGATGCCGTCAAACCAACATGGAGTAGAGTTAAGGAAGGTCCTAAAAGCCACTAAAAAGTGTTGAAATAGAACCGAGACATGCTAAGTAAACATGCGAGAGAGGGGTGTCCCTCTCTTATACAAGACTCTAAAACTACATTTCCACCACTGAAAATCCTTTGGATTTCAGTGGTAGAAAGGTCATGCAAAGGCAAGAACAAAGGCCAAAAGAGGTGGCTCAAAACAAGGCTAAACAAGGCCTAAGAGGGGGTAGACAACCCCCAACCAAAAAGTGACCTTAAGCAACCATAACAAGCATACAAAATTAGAACTTTTTTGTAGTTTAGAGTCAAGCTTGAAACAATATAGAAGTATGTGTAAAAGCTTAAGCAAGAATGGGGTATCTAAAGTTTAGAATCTCACCTTTGAAGAACAACTTCAAGAACACAAGACCAGCAACTCTCTCTGATCAAAACCAGCTCAAGAACCTTAAAACCAACCTCCTAGTACCTCAGCACACAAGGATGGTGTAACTCTAGGTGTTCTAGTACAAAAGTATGGACAAAATGCACTTTAGAACACAAATGCACACACAAATGTAGAGAGAGGGAGATATAGAGATAGATAGATAGATACATAATTTCTTCTCAGATTTTTTCTAACCCTTGAGAAAGGAGGAGGAGCTCCCTTCTTATAGGAATCCAATTCCAAGGCTTCTTGAAGAAGCTAACACAAGGTGAAAATCCCTCTATATACGTGTATGGAGGGAATGAAATATGCATGCCAGCTGTGACAGCTGGCCTAAAATATCTGCCAAAAGCAGATGGAAAGGGGTCAGCCGGAAAATATGACCGATTGACCAACAAAGGTGGCCGGTCGACCAAAAATAGTGCCGATCGGCCAGCACCTTTGGCCGATGGCAAGAAAAAGGGGCCGATGGCTTCATGCCTTGGTCGATGGGTTGAGGAAATGGCCAACAAGCCACCCCTTTCCCTTAAAAGAAAAAACACAAGTGCTTGGTCCACAACCAAGCACAAAACAGTCAAGTTGAGAGATCTTGAGGCAAGACGTGTGGCCGAGACCTCCGGGAACTCAAAACGAACACGAGCATAGATGATCATTGAGTGTTAATACGATGACGTCCAAGTCTTGAGGACGGTCAAAAATGGGATGTCTCACTGCGGAGTCCTGAGGGGATCCAGTGCATTAGTGCTGGTATGAACGCACCCGAAGCTTGACCATGACTTTATTATTTTAAGCAGTTGACAGACAAAAAATGAAATTGAATGGAATAGGATAATCTGGAAATGGTTTAAAAGCGCAAAATTTGTCGAAAAGGAGGCGAAGGCGATTGAATGGGCTAAAAATCGGACAGGTTGTCCGGGGAAGGGTGAAAAATAAAAAATAAAAAAAATGGGGCAAAAGGGTTGCAACACGAGGACTTCCCAGGGGGTTAACCATCCTAGTACTGCTCTCGCCCTAGCACGCTTAACTGTGAAGTTCTGATGGGATCCGGTGCATTAGTGCTGGTATGATCGCACCCGAAGATTAACCACGACTTTATTGTTATAAGTAGTAGACGGACTAAAAATGAAATTGAATGGAATAGTATAATCTGAAAATGGTTTCAAAGTGAGAAATTTGTCGAAAAGGAGGTGAAGGCGATTGAAGGGGCTAAAAATCGAACAGGTTGTCTGGGGAATGGTGAAAAAAAAAACAGAGAAGAAAAAAAAGGGCAAAAGGTGTGCAACACGAGGACTTCCTAGGGGGACAACCATTCTAGCACTACTCTCGCCCTAGCACGCTTAATTGCGGTGTTTTGGTGGGATCCGGTGCATTAGTGCTGGTATGATCACACCCGAAGATTAACTGCGACTTTATTGTTTTAAGCAGTAGACAGACAAAAAATGAAATTCAATGTAATAGGATAATCTAGAAATGGTTTAAATTGAGATATTTGTCAAAATGGAGGCGAAGGTAATTGAATGGACAAAAAATCGGAAAGGTATTAGACGGACTAAAAATGAAATTGAATGGAATAGAATAATCTGAAAGTGGTTTCAAAGCGAGAAATTTGCAGAAAAGGAGGCGAAGGCGATTGAAGGGGCTAAAAATCGGACAGGTTGTCTGGGGAATGGTGAAAAAAAAAAGAGAAGAAAAAAAAGGGCAAAAGGTGTGCAACACGAGGAATTCGCAACAGGTCAACCATCCTAACATTACTCTCACCCAAGCACGCTTAACTACAGTGTTCTGATGGGATCCGGTGCACTAGTGCTGGTACGATCGCACCCGGAGATTAACCGCGACTTTATTGTTCTAAGCAGTAGACAGACAAAAAATGAAATTGAATGTAATAGGATAATCTAGAAATGGTTTAAAAGTGAGATATTTGTCGAAAAGAAGGCAAAGGTGATTGAATGGGCTAAAAATCGGACATGTTGTCCGGGAAGGGTTGCAACACGAGGACTTCCCAGGGGGTCACCCATCAAAGTACAACTCTCGCCCTAGCACGCTTAACTGCGCTGTTCTCATGGGATCCGGTGCATTAGTGCTGGTACGAGCGCACCTGAAGATTAACCACGACTTTATTGTTATAAGCAGTAGATGGACTAAAAAAGAAATTGAATGGAATAGTATAATCTGAAAATGGTTTCAAAGCGAGAAATTTGTCGAAAAAGAGGCGAAGACAATTGAAGGGGTTAAAAATCGGACAGGTTGTCTGGGGAATGGTGAAAAAAAAAACAGAGAAGAAAAAAAGGGATCCGGTGCGTTAGTGCTAGTACGAGCGCACCTGAAGATTAACCACGACTTTATTGTTATAAGCAGTAGATGGACTAAAAAAGAAATTGAATGGAATAGTATAATCTGAAAATGGTTTCAAAGCGAGAAATTTGTCGAAAAGGAGGCGAAGACAATTGAAGGGGTTAAAAATCGGACAGGTTGTCTGGGGAATGGTGAAAAAAAAACAGAGAAGAAAAAAAAGGGCAAAAGGTGTGCAACATGAGGACTTCCCAGTGGGTCAACCTTCCTAGCACTACTCTCGCCCAAGCACGCTTAATTGCGGTGTTTTGATGGGATCCGGTGCATTAGTGCTGGTACGATCGCACCCGAAGATTAACCGCGACTTTATTCTTTTAAGCAGTAGATGAATAGAAAATGAAATTGAATGTAATAGGATAATCTGGAAATGGTTTAAAACTGAGATATTTGTCAAAAAGGAGGCAAAGGCAATTGAATAGGCTAAAAATCGGACAGGTTGTCTGGGGAATGGTGAAAAAAAAAAAAAAAACCAAGCAAAAGGTGTGCAACACGAGGACTTCCCAGGGGGTCACCCATGCTAGTACCACTCTTGCCCAAGTACGCCTAACAGCGGAGTTCTGAGGGGATCCGGTGCATTAGTGCTAGTATGAACACACCCGAAGCTTAACCACGACTTTCTTGTTTTAAGCAGTAGATAGACAAAAAAATTAAATTGAATGGAATTGGATAATCTGGAAATGGTTTAAAACCGAGATATTTGTCGAAAAGGAGGCGAAGACGATTGAATAGGTTAAAAATCGCACAGGTTGTCGGGGGAAGGGTAAAATAAAAAAAATAAAAAAAAGGGGGGCAAAAGGGGTGCAACACGAGGACTTCCCAGGGGGTCACCCATACTAGTACTACTCTCGCCGAAGCACGCTTAATTGCGGAGTTGTGATGGGATCCGGTGCATTAGTGCTGGTATGATCGCACCTAAAGATTAACCGCGACTTTATTGTTTTAAGTAGAAGACGGACAACAAACGAAATTGAATGGAATAGTATAATCTGCAAATGGTTTAAAAGCGAGAAACTTGTCGAAAAGGAGGTGAAGGCGATTTAATGGGCTAAAAGTCGAACAGGTTGTCAGGGGAAGGGTAAAAAAAAAATGGTAATGGGGATGCAACACGAGGAGTTCCCGGGGGATCAACCATCCTGGCACTACTCTCGCCCAAGCATGCCTAACTGCAGTGTTCTGATGGGATCCGGTGCATTAGTGCTGGTATGATCGCACTCGAAGATTAACCGCGACTTTATTATTTTACTTGGTAGACAGACAAAAAATGAAATTGAATGTAATAGGATAATCTGGAAATGGTTTAAAACCAAGCAATTTGTCAAAAATGAGGCAAAGCCGATGGAATGGGCTAAAAATCGGACAGGTTGAACAACAAAGATGAAAAATAAAATAAAATGGAGCGAAAGGGTTGCAACACGAGGACTTCCCAGGGGGTCACCCATCCTAGTACTACTCTCGCCAAAGCATGCCTAACTGCGGAGTCCTGATGGGATCCGGTGCATTAGTTCAGTATGATCTCACCCGAAGATTAACCACGACCTTATTGTTACAAGCAGTAGACGGACAAAAAATGAAATTGAATGGAATAGGATAATCTAAAAATGTTTTAAAGAGAGAAATTTGTCGAAAAGGAGGCGAAGGCGACTGAATGGGCGAAAAATCGGACACATTGTCTAGGGAAGGGTGGAAAAAAAAAAACAGAGAAGAAAAAAAAGGACAAAAGGGGCGCAACACGAGGACTTCCCAGGGGGTCACCCATCCCAGTACTACTCTCGCCCCTCGCACGCTAAATTGCGGGGTTCTGATCGGATCCGGTGCATTAGTGCTGGTATGATCGCACCCAAAGATAAACCGCAACTTTATCATTTTAAGTAGTAGCCGGACAAAATCTGTAATTGAATGGAAGTGGATACTCCAGAAATGGTTTAAAAGCGAGAAATTTGTTGAAAAAGAGGCGAAGGTGATTGAAGGGGCTAAAAATCGGACAGGCTGTCCGGGGAAGAAAGAAAAAAAAATGGGCAAAAGGGGTGCAACACGAGGACTTCCTAGGGGGTCACCCATCCTAATACTACTCCCGCCGAAGCACACTTAACTGCGGAATTCTAATGGAATCCGTTACTGTAGTGCTGGTATGATCGCACCCGAAGATTAACCACAACTTTATTTTTTTAAGCTGTAGACGGATAAAAAATGAAATTGAATGGAGTAGGATAATTTGGAAATGGTTTAAAAGTTAGAGATTTGTCGAAAAAGAGTCGAAGGCGATTGAATGGGCCAAAAATCGGAAAGGTTGTCTGGGAAAGGGTGAAAAAAAAAAGAAGGGGGCAAAAGGGTTGCAACACGAGGACATCCCAGGGGGTCACCCATCCTAGTACTACTCTCGTCCAAACACGGGTAACTGCGGTGTTCTGATGTGATCCGGTGCATTAGTGCTGGTATGATTGCGCCCGAAGATTAACCGTGACTTTATTGTTTCAAGCAGTCGGCGGACAACAAATGAAATTGAATGGAATAGGATAATCTGGAAACGATTTAAAATCGAGAAATTTGTCGAAAAGGAGGCGAAGGTGATTGAATGGGCTAAAAATCAGACTGGTTGTCCGGGGAAGGGTGAAAAAAAAAAAAAAGTGACAAAAGGGGTGCAACAAGTGGACTTCCCAGGGGGTCACCCATCCTAGTACTACTCTCGTCAAAGCATGCTTAAATGCGTAGTTCTGATGGGATCTGGTGCATTAGTGCTGGTATGATCGCACCCGAAGATTAACCGCGACCTTATTTTTTTTAAGCAATAGCCAGACAAAAAATGAAATTGAATGGGAGAGGATAATCTGGAAATGGTTTAAAAACGAGAAATTTGTCGAAAAGGAGTCGAAGGAGATTTAATGCGCTAAAAATCGGACAGCTCATCTGGGAAAGGTGAAAAAAAAAAAAGGGCAAAAGGGTTGCAACATGAGGACTTCCCAGGGGGTCACGCATCCTAGTACTACTCTCGCCCAAGCACGCTAAACTCCGGAGTTCTGATGGGATCCGATGCATTAGTGCTGGTATGATCGCACCCGGAGGTTAACCGCGACTTTATTGTTTCAAGCAGTAGCCGAACAAAAAATGAAATTGAATGGAAGTGGATAATCTTATAATGGTTTAAAAGCGAGAAATTTTTTTTAAAGGAGGCGAAGGCAATTTAATGGGCTAAAAATCGAACTGGTTGGCTGGGAAAAAAGAGTGAAAAAAAAAGGGGCAAAAGCGGTGCAACACGAGGACTTTGCCGGGGGTCACCCATCCTAGTACGATTCTCGCCCAAACATGCTTCACTCCGGAGTTCTGATGGGATCCGGTGCATTTGTGCTTGTGTGGTTGCACTCGAAGATTGACCGCGACTTTATTGTTTTAAATAGTAGATGGACAAAAAATAAAATTGAATGGAAGAGGATAATCTGGAAATGGTTTAAAAGCGAGAAATTTGTCGAAAAGGAGGGGAAGGCGCTAAAAATCGGAAAGGTTGTCCAGGAAAAGGTGAAAAAAAAAAAAGAAAAGGTCAGAAGGGTTTCAACACAAGGGCTTCACCGGGGGTCACCCATGCTAGCACAACTCTCGCCCTAGCACGCTTAATTGCGGGTTCTGATGGGTTCCGTTGCATTAGTGCTGGTATGTTCGCACCCGAAGATTAATAGCGACTTTATTGTTCTAAGTAGTAGACAGACAAAAAATGAAATTGAATGTAATAGGATAATCTAGAAATGGTTTAAAAGTGAGATATTTGTCGAAAAGGAGGCAAAGGCGATTGAATGGGCTAAAAATCGGACATGTTGTCCGGGAAGGGTTGCAACACGAGGACTTCCCAGGGGGTCACCCATCCAAGTACAACTCTCGCCCTAGCACGCTTAACTGCGTTGTTCTCATGGGATCCGGTGCGTTAGTGCTGGTATGAGCGCACCCAAAGATTAACCACGACTTTATTGTTATAAGCAGTAGATGGACTAAAAAAGAAATTGAATGGAATAGTATAATCTGAAAATGGTTTCAAAGCGAGAAATTTTTCGAAAAGGAGGCGAAGACGATTGAAGGGGTTAAAAATCGAACAGGCTGTCTGGGGAATGGTGAAAAAAAAATAGAGAAAAAAAATAAGGGCAAAAGGTGTGCAACACGAGGACTTCCCAGCGGGTCAACCATCCTAGCACTACTCTCGCCCAAGCACGCTTAACTGCGGTGTTCTGATGGGATCCGGTGCATTAGTGCTGGTACGATCGCACCCGAAGATTAACCGCGACTTTATTCTTTTAAGCAATAGGCGAACAAAAAATGAAATTGAATGTAATAGGATAATCTGGAAATGGTTTAAAACCGAGATATTTTTCGAAAAGGAGGCAAAGGCAATTGAATATGCTATAAATCGGACAGGTTGGCTGGGGAATGGTGAAAAAAAAAAAAAGAACGGGCAAAAGGTGTGCAACACGAGGACTTCCCAGGGGGTCACCCATGCTAGTACCACTCTTGCCCAAGTACGCCTAACTGCGGAGTTCTAAGGGGATCCGGTGCATTAGTGCTGGTATGAACGCACCTGAAGCTTAACCACGACTTTATTGTTTTAAGCAGTAGATAGACAAAAAAATGAAATTGACTGGAATAGGATAATCTGGAAATGGTTTAAAACTGAGATATTTGTCGAAAAGGAGGCGAAGACGAATGAATGGGTTAAAAATCGCATAGGTTGTCGAGGGAAGAGTAAAATAAAAAATAAAAAAAAAGGGGGGCAAAATGGGTGCAACACGAGGACTTCCCAGGGGGTCACTCATATTAGTACTACTCTCGCCGAAGCACACTTAACTGCGGAGTTGTGATGGGATCCGGTGCATTAGTGCTGGTATGATCGCACCTTAAAATTAATTGCGACCTTATGGTTTTAAGTAGAAGACGGACAAAAGATGAAATTGAATGGAATAGTATAATCTGCAAATGGTTTAAAAGCGAGAAATTTGTCGAAAAGGAGGCAAAGACGATTTAATGGGCTAAAAATCAGACAGGTTGTCAGGGGAAGGGTGAAAAAAAAAAACGGTAATGGGGATGCAACACCAGGACTTCCCGGGGGGTCAACCATCCTAGCACTACTCTCGCCCAAGCATGCCTAACTGTAGTGTTCTGATGGGATCCGATGCATTAGTGCTGGTATGATCGCACTCGAAGATTAACCGCGACTTTATTATTTTATTTAGTAGACAGACAAAAAATGAAATTGAATGTAATAGGATAATCTGGAAATGGTTTAAAACCAAGAAATTTGTCAAAAAGGAGGCAAAGCCGATTGAATGGGCTAAAAATCAGACAGGTTGAACAGCAAAGGTTTAAAACAAAAATAAAATGGAGCGAAAGGGTTGCAACACGAGGACTTCCCAGGGGGTCACCCATCCTAGTACTACTCTCACCAAAGCATGCCTAACTGCGGAGTCCTAATGGGATCCGGTGCATTAGTTCAGGTATGATCTCACCCGAAGATTAACCATGACCTTATTGTTACAAGCAGCAGACGGACAAAAAAATGAAATTGAATGGAATAGGATAATCTAAAAATGGTTTTAAAGAGAGAAATTTGTCGAAAAGGAGGCGAAGGCGATTGAATGGGTAAAAAATCAGACAGGTTGTCTGGGTAGGGTGAAAAAAAAAAACAGAGAAGAAAAAAAAAGAAAAAGGGGCGCAACACGAGGACTTCCCAGGGGGTCACCCATCCCAGTACTACTCTCGCCCCTCGCACGCTAAACTGCGGGGTTCTGATCGGATCCGGTGCAATAGTGCTGATATGATCGCACCCGAAGATAAACCGCAACTTTATTGTTTTAAGCAGTAGCCGGACAAAAAATGAAATTGAATGGAAGTGGATACTCTAGAAATGGTTTAAAAACGAGAAATTTGTTGAAAAAGAGGCGAAGGTGATTGAATGGGCTAAAAATCGGACAGGCTGTCCTTGGAAGAAAGAAAAAAAAATGGACAAAAGGGGTGCAACATGAGGACTTCCCAGGGGGTCACCCATCCTAGTACTACTCCCACCGAAGCAAATTTAACTGCGGAATTTTAATGGAATCCATTACAGTAGTGCTGGTATGATCGCACCCGAAGATTAACCACGACATTATTTTTTTAAGCTGTAGACGGATAAAAAATGAAATTGAATGGACTAGGATAATTTGGAAATGGTTTAAAAGTGAGAGATTTGTCAAAAAAGAGTCGACGGCGATTGAATGGGCCAAAAATCGGAAAGGTTGTCTGGGAAAGGGTGAAAAAAAAAAAGAAGAGGGCAAAAGGGTTGCAGCACGAGGACTTCCTAGGGGGTCACCCATCCTAGTAGTACTCTCGTCCAAACACGCGTAACTGCGGTGTTCTGATGTGATCCGGTGCATTAGTGCTGGTATGATTGCGCCCGAAGATTAACCGTGACTTTATTGTTTCAAGCAGTCGACGGACAAAAAATGAAATTGAATGGAATAGGATAATCTGGAAACGATTTAAAATCGAGAAATTTGTCGAAAATGAGGCGAATGTGATTGAATGGGCTAAAAATCAGATTGGTTGTCCGAAGAACGGTGAAAAAAAAAAAAGAGGCAAAATGGGTGCAACAAGTGGACTTCCCAAGGGGTCACCCATCCTAGTACTACTCTCGCTAAAGCACGCTTAAATGCGTAGTTCTAATGGGGTCTGGTGCATTAGTGCTGGTATGATCGCACCCGAAGATTAACCGCGACCTTATTTTTTTAAGCAGTAGCCAGACAAAAAATGAAATTGAATGGGAGAGGATAATCTGGAAATGGTTTAAAAATGAGAAATTTGTCGAAAAGGAGTCGAAGGCGATTTAATGCGCTAAAAATCGGACAGTTCATCTGGGAAAGGTGAAAAAAAAAAAGGGCAAAAGGGTTGCAACATGAGGACTTCCCAGGGGTCACGCATCCTAGTACTACTCTCGTCCAAGCACGCTAAACTGCGGAGTTCTGATAGGATCCGATGCATTGGTGCTGGTATGATCGCACCCGGAGGTTAACCGCGACTTTATTGTTTCAAGCAGTAGCCGGACAAAAAATGAAATTGAATGGAAGTGGATAATCTTATAATGGTTTAAAAACGAGAAATTTGTTGAAAAAGAGGCGAAGGTGATTGAATGGGCTAAAAATCGGACAGGCTGTCCTTGGAAGAGTGAAAAAAAAAAAGCGCAAAAGCGGTGCAACACGAGGACTTTGCCGGGGGTCACCCATCCTAGTACTCTTCTCGCCCAAACATGCTTGACTGTGGAGTTCTGATGGGATCCGGTGCATTTGTGCTTGTATGGTTGCACCCGAAGATTGACCGCGACTTTATTTTTTTAAATAGTAGACGGACAAAAAATAAAATCGAATGGAAGAGGATAATCTGGAAATGGTTTAAAAGCGAGAAATTTATCAAAAAGGAGGGGAAGGCGCTAAAAATCGGAAAGGTTGTCCAGGAAAAGGTGAAAAAAAAAAAAGGTCAGAAGGGTTTCAACACAAGGGCTTCACCGGGGGGTCACCCATGCTAGCACAACTCTCGCCCAAGCACGCTTAATTGCGGGTTCTGATGGGTTCCGGTGCATCAGTGCTGGTATGTTCGCACCCGAAGATTAATAGCGACTTTATTGTTCTAAGCAGTATCCGGACAAAAAATGAAATTGAATGGAAGAGGATGATCTGGAAATAGTTTAAAAGCGAGAAATTTGAAGAAAAGGAGGCGAAGGCGAATGAATGGGCTAAAAATCGGACAGGTTGTCCAGGGAAGGATGAAAAAAAAAAACGGCAAAAGGGGTTCAACACGAGGACTTCCCAGGAGGTCACCCATCCTAGTACCACTCTCGCCCAAGTACGCATAACTGCGGAGTTCTGACGGGATTCGGTGCGTTAGTGCTGGTTTGATCGGACTCGAAGATTAATCGTCACTTCATTGTTTAAAGCAGTAGACGGAAAAAAAATGAAATTGAATGGAATAAGATAATCAGAAACTGGTTTAAAAGCGAGAAATTTGTCGACAAGGAGGCGAAGGCGATTGAATGGGCTAAAACTTGAACCGGTTGTCTAGGGAAGGGTGAAAAAAAAATAGGGGCAAAGGGGGTGCAACACGAGGACTTCCCAGTGGGTCACCCATCCAAGTACTACTCTTGCCCAAGCCCGCCTAACTGCGGAGTTCTGATGGGATCCGGTGCATTTGTCCTTGTATGATCGCACCCGAAGATTAACGACGACTTTATTATTATGACCAGTAGACGGACAAAAAATGAAATTGAATGGAATAGGATAATCTGAAAATGGTTTAAAAGATAGAAATTTGTCGAAAATGAGGCAAAGGCGATTGAATGAGCTAAAAATCAGACAAGTTGTCTGGGGAATGATGAAAAAAAAAAATGAGCAAAAGGGATGCAACAGGAGGACTTCCCAGGGGGTCACCCATCCTAGCACTACTCTCGCCCAAGCATGCCTAATTGCAGATTTCGGATGGGATACGGTGCATTAGTGTTGCTATGATCTCACCCGAAGATTAACCACGACCTTATTGTTATAAGCAGTAGACGGACAAAAAATGAAATTGAATGGAATAGGATAATCTAAAACTAGTTTAAAAGTGAGAAATTTGTCGAAAAGGAAGCGAAGATGATTGAATGGGCTAAAAATTGGACAGGTTGTCTGGGGAAGGGTGGAAAAATAAAAAAAAAATAAAAAACAGAGAAGAAAAAATCGGGCAAAAGGGGTGCAACACGAGGACTTCCCAGGGAGTCACCCATCCCAGTACTACTCTCGCCCAAGCACGCTAAACTTCGGAGTTCTTATGGGATCCGGTGCATTAGTGCTGGTATGATCACGCCCGAAGATTAACCGCGACTTTATTGTTTTAAGCAGTCGACGAACAAAAAATTAAATTGAATGGGATAGGATAATCTGGAAATGATATAA